ATGTATACAGGACATGACAATCACCATCCGTATTTCTGACTGATTCCAGTAGAAACACCTTCTAGAAAGCTTAAATCTGACCTTGAAACCCTGTAACAAAAACATTTACAGCGCTGTCTTAAACACAAATTCCATGTCTACTGGTGCTCGTGAGTACAGCCCTGAAGGAAGGGGTCCTGGAACAGGAACTTGGGGAATGAACTGACTGCAGACCAGAGTCCCCACAAACACCACAGGAGGCTTTAAACAATCCACTCTTCGCTGTCTAAAATCACGTTATTACTGACCAACACACAAGGGGATATGAGCCCTGCAACCCCACTAGTTCAGGAGTTTGTTCCAGGCAAAGTGGAGCAATAATTATTCTTCAGTTTGAAACAAATGAGGGCAAACCCTTGCAAACACTCACATGTAACAGCAGCACAGCAGCAAGAAACGACTGGCCTTGGCAGTAGCCAATCTCTTCATCGTAGACAGAGTAGGCCTGAAAAAAGAATCAAGACTTTACTTCCATCTGTCTCAGGCTGCAAACACAAAGAAAACAGAACAAACACTGCATTGAACACAGCTCCATAAACTTTCACCTGTACACAGGTGCCACAGGGACATTAGGAAGAGGGAGGAACACCAGGAATATGAAAGAGTGCTGGAAGCCTAAACAACTCCAGCCAACTGAATGCAGTGAGCTGTCCATTCCTGCCCAGCTCCTCCTGGTAACAAGCAGCCTCAGTGCATGTCTGAGGCTTTAGAACATTTATGGGAGGTACACAGTTATCTCCAGTTACATAATTTGTCCAGCTTGATCCAGGCTGACAGGTCTGGAATCATGGGAAGTCTCTGCACCAAACACTTCAGTGTTGAGGAATCCAGAAGGGCTTTATGTCTCCTGTCTGAGTGGCACCATCACCTCACTCTGGTGAGGAACCAGAGTGAGCCAGGGCCAGAGTCTGTCTCCATGACAGGCAATGGCAACACATCCACATTCTTCTCAGCTACCAGTCACATCTGTCAGTGATGCTGAATGCAAGTCACCAAAACCAGCCCAGAAGAATTTAAAGGATACCTTGCATATTTTGTACAGGGAGTCCTGGCCATCCCCCCCAGTATCTTTAAAATAATCATGAGCAGGGAACGTTCGATTGATGTCTCGGGTGATGGCACTGTCTTGTGGAGACTCCTGTTAGAAAAAGAACACGATATGTAAATTAAAACACATCAAAAGAATATAAATTACAAATGCTAGGACTGAGAGTTGGAAGATTGGCACTGGGTTCTGTGCACTGTTCTAAATTTAACAAAACACAGCCCACTCCACCAGAGCAGGCTGGCAGCTCCACAGGACAGTCTGGATAGACTTGGTTACCTAAACACATCTGGGAAGGGTCAGGGAGGGGCAGGTCACACACACACAGACACACAGACACAGACACACACGTGTTCCAGGCCACTGCAATGCAGAGCCTTCCCCTGGAGACTCCTGATCCCCAGTGCTGCCCAGGCACGTTCCTTTTATCTCCCCACTGCAGGGAGTCACAGCCAACTGTAAGCAGCTGCTGTCCACAAGCCTGTCCCTGAGGTTCAGCTCAGAAACCACTCTGCATCCCCTCCTCAGAATTTAACTACAGAAAACAGAAATCTGAGTATGAGCCTCAGAAATTATTGCTCAGTAAAACGTGACCATGATCAGGGATTTCAGCATGAGGAAGGTGGAACTTTGTTCTCCACACCACTCTGACACCAGCAATTTCAGATGCCTTGGACACTTGGAAAGCTGAACAGTAACATAAAAAGTGTTTTACTCTACCCAAATAACCCATGTTTCTGTAGCAAACGGAAAAAGATTAGAAGCAAAAGATAGTAAAAAAAGTACACGGTGTAATCAGTGTGAAGATCATTCAACAGAGCTTGTAGTTCTTTTTCCTCACAAAAGGATTTTGCAAACAACAAAATTACCACAGTGTGCTTCATTTTCTCTTCTGATTTTAATCCAAGGTTAATGCTCCTCTCTGGGGCTTAATACAGACATTTCATTAGGAAAGCATTATGCTGCTATTAGAATCAAGTTACCAGATTGTTTGGGAAATTATATCAAAAGTACTGTTCAGCACTCCAATTTGATAATAATTAACGTGCTAAAGAGTCTGTCTCATTAAAAGGAAATCAGAAACAAACAAAATCCGATGCTCAATAAACTTCATATGAAAATCTACCTTTTAAGTCAAAGACAAGTACACTAATGGCTGGCTGTTGGCTTCAGCATGTTTTGCAAGGAGAAAAAGACAATGTTGAGAAACAATCCTGAAAACTTTAAACATGTGAATACAGCCTTAGTGGTAACTTTCAGTTTCTGAAGAGTTTGCAAGGCTGACTTGCATTGAATTCTCTGCAGGAGCTCAGGTGCTGCTCACTGCCAGCAGCTCTGGTACCACACAAGGGGGTTTCCCGAGTGTCACCTGTTCTGCTGCAAGGGCAAAATAACCTCAAATCCACTTGCCTTTTAATCCACTTATTTAACAGCAGAGACCAGAGCATCTGGTTGGAAACTCTTAAGAGAGGCTTCTCAAACAAATCACTCATTATGGCTAAAGAGAACTAATTAGTGGCCTCTCTGGCTTTGCGTGACTTGGTCAGCACTTGACTCCTGTGTTTCAGTACAATTCCTCCAGCAATCTGTAACTCAAGTTCCTGCAGCTGAAGCACAGCTTGGGGAGAGAAAAATCAACGGAAATGATAAGGTTTAAAAAATGTTTTCCAAAAACCGTGGCTTTGAAATCTCCCCATTGGTACAAACTGCTGCAATCCAAGCATTGTGTAACCTTTTCTTTACTCCTATTTTTATACCTTGCTGTGAGAATTGGCTCAATGGGCAATTTCTCATGCTTTCAGGGGACTGGGAACTGAAGGAAACCCTTCTGAACCCACACCCTTCACAAACTGGGATTGAAAAATAGAAAGCTAAGAATGACAGGAAGAAAAAGAAAGTAGTAAAGAAAACAGAATGGAAACCAGCCATGAGAACTCAGGCGAGTGTAGTGAAGATTAAAATTCTCATGAGTTTGCTGCTCTGAAGGAAAGCAGGAAAATGTAGATGCTCAGACTCAGAACATACCTTTCCTCCCCCTCTTTGCTGCACTTTAAAATATTAGGGGAGTTATAGCAAAACCTTCCTCTCCAGCTGATTTAAACAGAAACTACGTGAGTAATTATGGAAACCAGGACACAGTCCAGCAGGGAAAAGCCCATCTATTCTGTCAGTCTGTATAGAAAAGCACATTAGTTCCCACCTCCTAAACTTGTAACACTTAAAAGACGTTTTCCTTGTATTTTTGCAACCTTCCTGCAAGCATCCCAGGATGTGCAAACTTTATCATGCAGTTACAGACTTGATCAACATCTTCACAGTGAGACTGTGTTACTCTGGAAGCTTTTTCTGTAGCTTAAGGCACAATTAGAGCCATGGAAGAGCTGGAGTTCCCAGAACCTTTTCCTGGGGCTGATCTACTTGCAGTTTTCAGCAGCTCAGGTTTATTCCTCCTAATCCCCCACATAAACCCAAGAGGATGGAGAAGCAGCAGCAAAGAATTGCTGAAGGGACAAGATCTGTGGTGACAGAAAATGAAATAAGAGATCTCCAGAGAACAGAGGGAGTTGCCTGCTGGAAATGGCTCATCATCCACAGATCAACTCCTGGTGCACCAGGCTCCTGGAGAAATGGGATGGGGCATAAAACCTTCACCTAGACACAGGATGGCTTCAAAAACAGCATAAAAAGGGAAAAATGGCGAGGTCCAAACTTTAGATTCCTCCTGCCCCAACTCCCAGAACGATTCCAAATGTGGAATTCTGCTCACTGGGTGAGTTATCTGACACACCCAGCACAAACCCAAGCTGTGCCTGACTCTCACTCTTGCCACAATGGGATCCATTTCCACATTGCAATTATTCCTTAGGAAGGTTCCCCCGACTTTGCAAGAATTCAGTCACACGGGCAGAGATTACTGTGGGAAGGGTCTGGAGACTGGATCCATCAGTGGAATTTTCCTTGCTTTGCCCAGGGTCAGATCAGCACGTGGTGTGTTGCTGCAAGGCACGGACAGGCCATCCCAGAGCCACCAAGCCAGGGGCAGCTTCCAGCACATCCAACAAGCAGAGAGAGCCAAACCCCTGCAGATTTCCTGGGCAGCAGCAAGGGTAATGTTCCACGATGGGGATCAGTTATTTGGAGCAGATCTGTATGTTTTAAGCACATTTAAAAATATTAAAAGGTCTTTTAATAGCTATTTTCAGTGTTAGCAGGACACTGTGTCACCTGGTCTATTTTGCAGGTTGATGGCATTCCCAAAACTACTTTCATTAGGCAATATTTACACTGACTTTTACACAAAGTGCATTTCCTGCATTTGTGTTCGCCCAGACCGCTGGAGAAGGTTTTGGTAAGAGGAATTACACCTGTTACTGAGACCTTAAGGAAGTATCACAAACCCCTCTTTCAGAGTAATGTACTTGTTCACTTCCCACGAGGAATGCTGCCCACAGAATGGAAGAGTTACCTGGAGTCAGCACTTACTGAGAACATTTACAGATAAACAGTATTTCTGGAAAAAAACCTGAATAATTTAGACAAATTTGGAATGGTTAGACAACTGCAACTGGACACAATAGTGCATTGATACAGCATACTTTCAGGCCAAATATGGCAATATAGTGCAACTCTAAAAATAAAAGTGAATCCCTTGTGATATCCAGCCCTTTCGCTCTGTTCGTTTCCTTTTAGGGCTCAAGTTTCCCACAGGAAAATCCGAGCGCGGAGTTTGCCCACAGTGCCCTGCAGCACGGATGGACACAGCACAGACACAGCCAGGCTGCAAGGGCTGCCTGCTCCTGCCACCCACACACAGCCCAGGCTATTTAGAGCTATCAGAGAAGAGGAAAAAGCCCCACCCAGTCCCCAGGAACGCACCTTTACCAGCACACACACAGAAGGCATCCGGGACAAGACGTGAAAACATGTGATGTATCATTTATTTCTTAAATGTATTTATGATCCATTCAGACCTTTCAAATAAAGTGTACAAGTGCATTTCAGAATAAAAAACTACACTCTTCACACGGCTCTGTAGAACACTACATTTCATCAAGGAACTTGAAGCAAAAACTTCCTATTAAACCACCCATGCATCCTTTGGCTACAATAATATCACTGATCAACAAGTACTGCTAGTCAATTCGGAGTTTCCCTTTAAAGAGAAGGAGCATCCTAAAATATGCCACCCCTTCCAGAGACCTCTCTTTAAAGAGAGAATAATAAATAAATTAGCTAGGCTTTTAGGCAAACAGTAAGGCTACTTAGTACTGTTGATGCATGATCCATATATTTGGAGAACAGGCAATCCTAGGCTATGTGAAATGCGTCAACAGCCCTTGAAATTGTAGTAGTATCAAGATTACATCAATCCAGAACAAATGGCAGACAAAAATGTAACCAGTGGAACAATCACTGAAAAATGTGCAGTTTCTCTTAGGATGGGAAGTGCTGATAACAGATTCAGAAAAGTGTTTATAAAATCCGCTAAGAACCACATTGACATTCTTAAAATTACATATTGTACAAAGCCCTAAACTCTGTGACTGTACAGCCACTGCCGTGTTCAACTGCTTGTTTGGAGGGACATGTACACACGTATGTAAAATACACATATATACCTATTTTAAAACAAGCAATTCAACATGGCAGTGACTGTACAGCTGCACAGTACACAAATATATATATATGTACATCTACAGCAAAAAGGGAACAAGCCAACAGATGTATGACACAGCTGGGGTACAGACCACCTCAAAGGGAATAATACATTTCTTTGAGTTTTAATAGCTCATAGCAAAATTACCTCTTGGAAATAGTTATGCAAAGATTTAGAATCAGATATTTACATGCTTCCGATTTATCTAGTTCCATTTAATAATTAAAAATATGCAAGTATTATTTTAAATCAGTAACATTTGTCATTTTTGGCTCAACTGTAGTTTTTCTTATTATTAGTCTTCGTTGAAAAATCAGCTACAGAAATGTCTATTAAAACGATGGGGTGGAAGAACCCCTCTGCCCTGTATTTTAACAACAGTTCTGAGTTGGCACAAAATAGGTAATTCTGGAGCCACAACAATAACTCTTCCCAAGCTGCCTTATGTATGAAAACACCCATCTTCACCATCCCCCTTCCTGTGCAGGTACAAACCAGAGCAGACCCAGTGAGAGGAGGGACCACGGAGGAGCCCCCCCAACACCCCCACGGTCCCCACTGTGCCAGAACTGAACCAGCATTAGAGACTCTTAAGGGTTGGACAGGCTCTAATTCACCTGTTTGCTCTTCTAATCTGCTTTGGTGGTTGTTTTCCCGTAGTTCCTCCTAGCAGGGGTTTCACACTCACAGCTCTTTCTCATCTTCTAATACAAAACAATTTCCAGCATTAAAAGGTGCACAAGGTTCTTACAAACACACACATACACATTCTTACCTGTGATTTTATCTATTCCTGGCCCTCTCACTGACACTCAGGGAAAAACTACCAGTTGGAACACTACTGGTGGAAGGAGCTGGACTGTCTCCCAAAGCTCCTGTAACAACCCTCTGACAAAGGTCAGATCTCCACAGAATGCACCAAATAACTGGTGGCTTCTGCTGTACCAGGGACTGGGAAGGTGCAAGGAGACGGGTGGGACACAAGGAAAAATGAGCATCACAGAGTCATGGAATGGTTTGGGTTGGAAGGGACCTTAAATCCCATCTCATTCCAACCCCCTGCCACGGGCAGGGACACCTTCCACTAGCCCAGGTTGCTCCCAGCCCCGTCCAACCTGGCCTGGGACACTTCCAGGGACGGGGCACCCACAACCTCTCTGGGCAACAGAGAGGTTTTAAAGTAAGATCACTCCACTGTGTTTCGTTCAGCAAAGCAACCTAAAAGCACATGCACGCACAGCCTCCCATGCTCGCGCTTCACTGTAAACAGCAGGTGAAAAAAACAATTAAAAAAGGTACGAATACAAGTTCGAAATCCCTGAAGAAAAGACATACCCACGAGTATTAAGAACAGTAAAAAAGCTCATCATTAGCAGTTGCAAACTCGTTTCCATCCTGTTGCATTCATTAGAGGAATACAAAATTGAATCTAGTGTTTACATGCTAGACTTACAATAGAAACTGGATTTCAAAGGTTACATATGGAGAGAAATGTATCAGCATAGGAACCTGCAAAAGACTGTGCTGTACAGTATTTCTAAAGACATAGGTCTGTCAAGACAATACACATGATTGCAAATCCTTTCAGACAGTTCAAAAGCATGGCTGGAGGTAATGCTGCTTCCTGTCCTCTGAAAGGATTAACTGCACCATTATTTTTAGTAGGTTTTAGTGACAATTTAACCTCAAGAAATACCTAACCCCTCAAAAACTGAGGTGATCAGAAACATACAGGTACCTTACAGCCCTCAGGTTTTACTTCTTTGTACACTAAACATCAATTCATTGACAGCATCTACAGAAAACGTTTTAAAAAATGTTTTTATGAAATACTTTTAATACTCAGTAATGCTAATATTTAAAAATACTTCACAGTGTGGTACTAATGTAACTTCATAAAACGAGCAACTTGAGTCAGCTAAAGCTCAAAGCCTTACGTTATATTAAAATAGTCCAAAGATTCCACACACACACACAGAATCACTAGCACTATAAATATACCTAAGCCACTTTAGTGCAAAGTCTGGTTTTGCTTCCCCTGACAAATCCCTCTATATTCCTGCCAGCATATTAAAATGTCATCCTTTACTAATCTAATTATTGATTTTCAAGGATTCATTTACAGCTGAAATCCCAGAAGAACTTTTTTCAATTTACCATAAAAGTAATGACTGGGTTTATTAAGCATTTGATTGCTCGGCTCACGTGATCTCTGTAACGCTGACAATGACTGGCACATGCACAGCAAGGTTTGAGTTCATCTTTCTGAGGAGTCACTTGAATTTATTTCACCTTTTAACGAAAGGATCTCCAGTAATGACCATCAGAGAGAAGCCAAAGCTTTGAATTACAGAATTGCTATCCTCATCTTACACATTGCTAATTAGAAAGAAGTCAGAACAGGCAGTTTGGACTCCCTGCCCCCTTTCTAACCCCCAAGGGTACCCTGTGCTCCACCTCAGGTGCCTCACACACAGGTACTGCCCAGGTGGAGCCCTCCCCGTGATCACCAACTTCAAAACATGTTTGTCTGCCTCAACCCACATTCTAAATATAGTCCAATGCAATGTGCATCCACTCAGCATTTCTAAAAACTTCTCAGCAGATAAAGCTGCTGGTTATCAACCCGTGCACAGGTGTCAGTCCCACAGTGACCTGATGCCTCCTGGTCTGTCCTGGAGCGGAGCCTGCACAGCCTTTGATCAGCTCAGGGATTGTGACACTCCTCCCAAACAGCTTCAGGACAAAACAAAGATGACTCGTTAATAACAACTTCTGTTTCTCAGTTGAAATAACTACAAAGTCACCAGCTAGAGGGTCAGTTCTGCCTGCACAGATTGCTGGAGAACACCTGAGGCTGCAATTAAAGCTGGATCAGGATACAGGAACATCACTTCTGTTAACGTTTTCATTAACTGCTAAAGCTCAGGAGATGCAAATGGGACATGGGCGAGAGCCACAACCACTTCCATCTGCAGCCACCACGACAGGCCTGGAGAGCAGACACAGCCTGTGGCTTGTTTTCAACTCTGCAATAGGACTAAGAGCTGAGAGGTGACAGAGCTCAGCACTGCGTGGAGAACCAGCAGCAAAGCTGCCTCCGTAAGCAAACATTTCATTTGTCTAGAAAATGATGTCACAGGAAAAAAAACCTGAAAAGCTGAGTAAACAAACTATACCATTCAGATTATTTCCCTGGGGCTGGAACACCTCAGATAGACAATCATGACAGAGCCTGACATTACCCCACTTTACCTGAACTCAAATGAGGGGCTGATCACCACCCCAGGCCTGCAGGGAATCCTGTTGTGGTGGGTGCAGCAGCCCCAAGGCTCAGAGGAGCTGCCTCCAGAGAGCAGCAAAGCAAAAGCAAGAAGGTTAAACTCCACATTTTAAAAAGAAGTGCATTGTAAAGAAAATGACCCAAATTAAATACCCCATTGTTCTGACCAAACTCCAGTGGGTTTCCTTTCTTTGTTTCCCCTGGCGACAACTTTCAGTTTCTGTCTCTAAATACAACTGCACCTGGTCCTAAACTTATTGGATTTTAATTCTGAAGTGCTGTCCTCTTCCAAAGGCATTTTACATACATAACTTTAGTATTAAATGCCTTTGCTTATTTGCAGAAATGTCTTTTAAAGTGGTATCTCTGCAATGCACAGACAGGAAGGGAAAAAACAACTGGAATTGAGACATTGACCTCTACAAGCCAGGAGGACACTTCTCTTCTAGTGAAAATGGGTTGTTTTCATCATCCTAAAAGAGGGGCTGTTTGCTTTTATGGAGACAGTCTGTAAACCCTGATGGCCCAATGCTCTGACCTGACCACAGCCCCATACACACCCCAGTATTCATTTGGTAAAGAATATTAAAGAATATTAAAGTTTGGATAAATGTGGATTAAAATCCAAGGTTATCTTGAATGACACCACGGGAAGGATGTGTCATTGTATTCTGCAAAGTCATGGAAGGGAAGAAAAACATTTCTAAACCAAACAACAAAATAAGGGCCAAGTCAGGCCAATGTTTCAGCACGTGCTTCAAGTACTCAGAACCAAAAATGTGTTAGAACGACAACAGAAGCCCTCCAAACCCACCACCTCCTCTTATTAAACTAAAATTACCTACAATGGAGGAATCAAGTAATCAGAAAAACGGGCCTTCTGTTTGTAATGTCTCAAGACAGATTCCTGCACTCACACACTGGTTGGTTCCTAAGAAATATTTTTTAAAGCATCGACCTGAATTAGGAAAAGTTCTGCCAACTTCCAACCCTGATGTGAAGTAAGATGAGACTGAAATATTTCAGACTTCCCGACTCATGGAGTTACATCCTTGATCATGGCAGCAGTTGGGAATACCACAAAAAATAGCAAAAAAATCTGCATATTGAATTCACACACTGAATGTTTCCATCTCGCATCACATCCAGGCCTTGGAAGTGCCTTTTTCCGGACAAACTGCTGAAATTTAGGATTCTTACACGTAAAACCTTTCTATGAGAGGGCAGGGACAATGCCAAAGGGGTGCAGTTTGGGAGTTCTTCTTCTGCAATTCTCTGCGCCTTAGTACTTTGTACCACTTTCTTCCTGTCAAAGACTTGTGACAAATACCCAAGACTGCCCCTTGGCACTCTGACACCGAGCCATGTCAGAATTCCAACCAGAAGAAACACATTTCTGAGCGATAAGAAGCTTAAAAACAAGTACAAAACCCCCAACAACAAATCAAGACTGAAGAAACTGGTAACATTTAATAAAAAAAAAACTAGCAGTAGATAACAGCAAAACTGTTGTTTCACACAAAACATATCTGTTGAGTTTAAAAATACTGTCACTTGATTGAGATCATAAAAAAATAATATTTCACAGATATTCTCCCAGCCTGTTTGGAAAATGACAAAATAATCACAACCTAAACTTCCAGTAATCCTTAAAAAGAATAAAAATAAAGTGTTCTAGATGAAGCAAATTATCACCTTCTGAGAAGTTGTGAGTATTGAAATCCTTCCCATGGCACTAAAAAAAGCCACTGAATTGCATCCTGCAAATTGAACCTTCCAGCAGCTTAATTTGAGAGCGAGGCAGATAACCCTAATAAAAAAATCAGTTTATAGTCTGAGATGGAACTTCAAAATTAGTTCATTTAATCACATCACAACACAATTTTCATGAGGCTGTAATTTGATTTCTGTGCTCTCCTCAGAGTGGCATTTATCTGTGCAGTGCTCTCGAGCACCGGCGCACTCGGGCACAAACAGAGCCAGGGAAGGATTAGTTTCATGTGTACAACAAGGAAAACCAGCCAACTGCAAAGTTTGCTGCCTGACAATTCCTAGCACAGACTGTGATGAAAGGGATCCCTGTGCCTCGTGTGAGCTGCATGACAAAGGGTGTTCAACTGAGCAAACAAGGTAATGTGTGGCAAAATTATTTCTTCCAGTTGGCACAGTGAAAGGGAGTCACCCCCTGCAATCCCACTGAAGACAACAGACTCTAATGTCATGAATACTTAAAACATCTAATCACAAACAAACCTACATCAACATTAAATTAACTTAGAGGAAAAAAACCCTCGTAATTTAAATTATTAAAAAAAAAATCAATAAATTAACACAGACGAAAAGAGAAATACTTGAACCTAAAACTAAGCTACTGAGGCAACATTAAAAGTGTCTGTACAAAGACTGGATGAAACTTGAATGCACCAATTGGCTGCAACTCCTCTCCATCCTCATCTCTTGGAGACTTCCAGATTCTGATTTTCACCTCTCCCAGAGATTATCTGAGCTGAGGAAGACTTGGAGATGAGTAAGGCAACTGAAAACAGCCTGGCTGTCAGGAATGTAGAACTGAGCCTTAGCTGCAAAGCAGCAACAGCTGCAGGCATGGATCTGCATCTGGAACAGCCACTGTGCTCCAAGCACAATTCCAGGCTCAGAGCTGAAGTAGCAACTGCTTCAGCTCCAGTTAAACCTCTATGCCATGATTTAGACCCCTCACCAGTTTTAAACATTTTCCAAATTCTCCAAAACTAGCACACAATGATACTATTTAAACCCTCTATTCATGGAAAAAAACAAAAAGCAACAATCTTTGCTTCCACTTAAACCTGAAACTGCCATTTCTGGGGTTTTAGGCCCCAGCAGATTCTTCTCTTCCATTAAGTTTTAATCAAATGCTATTTCAATGATACATTGCATCACTTCAAAGACTCGGAAATGTTAGATAAGGTGAAGAGCAGAGAAAAGCTATTGGGAGTTTACCTGAGAGGCTGTTCCAAAAATACCACACACACACACTTTGATATTAGTGACTAAAGCCCTTAAATTGTTCCCCAAAGCCCACCTGTGCCATAATACCCACAAACCGCTGGAGAACAATTAGCCAGCTGATGTGCTGGGAGCTTATTATACCACTCAGAAATGAGTCACTACACCCCTGCACTCCCCCCACGGCTGTCTGTGTCTAACCAAAATTCAGACTGCCAGGGCTCTGCAGAACAAGTCACCTCTGCCGTGGCTGGAGGACCTGGCACAAGCCGTGGTCCAGACTCTGCCTTACTACAGAGGACAACAGGAGATGTCCATGGGAAGGCATCAGGGTTTACACAACCTGTGTTCTTCACCTTTCAGATGAACTGAGGAGGAGGTTTATCTGGAGAGGTTTGGACTGGGGATGGAACATGTTGGGAGCAGATCAAGATACAAGTTGAATGTTTTGCCACTGGGGTCCCCAAGGGAACGGGGCAGCAGCAGCAGCAGCAGTTGTGCCCCATCCTCCCCAGAACAGGTACACACACCCCCCCCGAGAGGAACCAAGTGCATCAGCACTGAGTGCTCACAAGCACAGGCTGTGCCAGGAGTGCTTCATCCTGCTGCTCTCTCTGCCCTTCCCTGTTTCCTCACTGGCAGCCCCACGAGACTGTTCTGGAGCAAATGTGGATGGGCAGAGGGACTGCAGCAATCCTGGCATGTGACGGGCAGAGACGTGGGCTGGCATCCTCCAGGGCAAAGGGCTCCCAGCAGAGCAGAGAGGAGGGGGGTGTTTGCTGGAGGGACAGGGCAGAGCACTGAAAAGATGATCTTGATCTACAACAACAGACAACCTGACACCATTTAAAAAAACACAGTCTTCCCTCTGGCCAAGAGAATTACCCCAATTCTAAAAGGATCCAATTCCTTTTCCCTAACCTTTCTTCATTCCCACTGTGACTAACAGCACACACCAGCTGTACCAGAGCAGCTCAGGGAATCCCCCGAGCTCGCAGCACCACGGAGGGATAAACAGGGGATGCACAACCTGCCCTCAGAGCAGGTTATGATGGAGGGACAGGACAATAAAACTGTAACCCACAATTACAGGAACACTCGGTTCACTTGCATTTTCCAAAATGGCATCAGTAAAAAGACAAGGATGTTCTTTAGGAAAAACTCAACAATTCTGCCACACTGCCTTCTTAACAGCTTTCCAGTACTCCAAACATTTAATCCAGGCTAGCTTGAACAATGTCGTCAATGAGATTTGGTTTCTCAGATATTGCCTTTGTCTGACCAGTTAGATATGCGTTTGCCAACAGGATTTAGCTCCTGCTATATTTGAACCATCTTTAATCCCATGAAGGCTAAAGAAAAATGTCTCTGATTTAGCTCTGTGCACTTATGAATAACTCAAATACTACAGTTAAATTTACAACATAGTTCCCTTAGCTGTTTAGAAGACAATTGTTTTCTTTCCTTTCCCCTTAAGTTCTAGTATGTAAAATATCAGAAGAATTTAGATTAAAAAAAAAAAGGGACATGTTATTTTTAAAGTTGTTCTTGAGAAAATTTCCACATACAAACTCGTGGCATTTCTCCACTGGTTTGAGAATAATTTTCACATGTTGGCATCATCTTTGAGTGGCTGCCACAACTCTGGTATCATAAAGCAACACGTATTTTCTCATAGCTTATCAAAACACATTTTATTTAACTGCTAAATTTGGTCTGATCCAAGTTTTTCTTCTTACTTCACAACAAACAGGAAAACGCAGATGCCATACTCTGATCCAAACATGCATCCTACCAGGGAAACAGGGCACGGACCCAGACCAGCCCCAAGCCTACGACTGCTCAGATCACATCGCTGCACTCACGGCTCATTAAAACTGAGTTCACACTGAAATGTTCACATTGTTCACTCCTGTTCTACAAGTCCTGTCTAGGTAGCACTGAAAAACAAATTGCTTGGCCCCTTCTGTTCTGACGCTGGAACGTTGTGTCAATATATACTTTGGCATATATTAAAAAAATCCCTGTAATATACCATAGACTGTGACATTTCCACTTCAGCTCTATCATTTACATGTGAAGCACGAATCTCCAAAGAACCCAGTAAAGCTGTAAGAAAGACTACATTTTGCCGAAGCTCTCAGACACCCACTCCATTCAGTCACACCAGCTGGAGAGGTAAGTGTCAAGATACAGCTTTATTCTTTAAAATGAATATGGAGGTGAAACTCCACAGCCTCCTCCACAGCAATCATTTTTTAAAGTGAAACCACAACGATATGTGCTCCTGATTCTTCTGTGTCAGCAGCATTTCTCAGAAACCTTTTTGCAAATCTGGACATCTTAAAATCGTATCTAACTTATTTTGCAATTTGCGGAATCGTCCCTGCACTTCCCAGTCCAGCTGACAGGCGTCCTAGACATGACATCCATTGGAAGATCTTTTGCTCCTGGAGGTAGAGGAGTCCTTAGCTACCCTCTGTCTAGCGCACGAGGCACAGATGGCCCCCGAGAGGCGCTTCAGCCCCTTCTGAAAGACACTGTTGGAGAGACTGTAAATGACACAGTTGCAGAAACTGTTGCTAATGGCAAGCCAAGTGGTCAAGAAGGACGCGACGCGGTTACTATAGACATTGGAGCTCTCCAGCAGGAAATAGATGATGTAGGGCAACCACAGGATGTAGAAGACACTGGTGATGCGGAACAGGACCATGGCATAGCGCTTGTCCGGGCAGGGCTGTGCCTCCCCAGCCTCCCCATCCTGGGAGCTGAAGCGCACCCGCCTCTCGTTGATCTCCTTGGTGTGCTGCTGGCAGATGCGGAAGATGTTGAAGTAGGTGAAGCAGACGATGAAGGCGGCCGGGGCGTAGAGCATCACCACAATGAACAGGGTGAAATAGGGGTCGGTGTTCCAGGAATTGGCGCACCACTGGAACACATCCCCGTGGTATCCAGGCTTTCCCCAGTGAAAGGAGGGTAAGAAGACCAGGCAGGAGTAGAGCCAAATGGTCAGGATGCAGATTCGCAGCCTCCACGGGGTGACCAGCGTGTTGTAGGTCAGCGGCTTCGTGATGGCGATGTATCTGTCAATGCTAATGCAGGCCAAGGAGGCCATGGAGACGCTCTTCAGCACTGACACCACATAACCAAAGATTTGGCAAACCAAGGACTCACTCAAAACAATAGGATAGTGCAGCAGAGACAAAGAAGGCACCAGACAGCTCACGCCCACCAGGAGGTCAGCATACGCCATAGTCTGGATGAAGTAGCTGGTGGTGTGGTGGTTCAGCAGAGGTGCACAGTGAAAGACAAATATCACAATAATGTTGCCCGAAATAATCAGCACCATGAGGAACACAATAATAACCACTTCCAGGAGGCAAAAATTGATGGTCTCCAAATAGCTAATGGCCAGGAGACAGAAGGGCCGGCCACTCTGGTTGCCAACCAAAGAGGAGTTCATCTTGAGCACTGCAGTGATCGCTCTACTTCATGCTCCTGCCTGCTGCCTGCAGCCACTCCAGGCAGCTGCTGTCATTGCGGCTGGTGCTGTGTGTGCAGCAATGTCAAAACCGGAGCTCCGGTCCCCAGGGCTGCTCCAGATGCTGCTGCTGTGCATTGTCTGCAGCACAACTCCCCTTTAAATCCGGCTCCCCGCCGCTGCCGGTGCACCGGGACCCGGCGGCAGGCATGTCAGCAACTTCCCCGGCGCACGGGAGAGGGCTGATATTGGTGCCCGCCCGGGTGGGCTGCCGCGCCGAGCAGGGACGAGGGGCTGGGGGAAGAGGGAGAGGAACCTTCAGCGAGTCAGGACGAGAGTCCTCCCAAAGGCTGACAGAGAGAAGGGGAAAGTGTTTTACAGAACCGCCTCTCCCCGCCGCCCCGCTCCTTCCCCACGCCCTGCCCAGCGCTCGCCGCCGGCCCCGCTCCAGCCCCGGTCCCCTCCCCACGCCGGGCCCGGGCCCCGCCGGCGGCAGCGGGGGGCGATGCCGCCCCCGCGGAGCCCCGGCAGGCGGGCGGGGGGATGCGCGGCGGGGAGGGCGGGGGTCCAGCCCTTCTCCGCTGGCTCCATTTTGCACGGCGCTTTTGTTCGCCGCCTCTGCCGGCCCCGCCGCCGCCCCGGCCCCGCCGCCCCCGCCGCCCCCCGCCCGGCCCGGCCCCGCCGCCCCGGCCCTACCTGCGGCGGGCGAACAAAAGCGCGGAGCATCCTCGGGCGGGCGGCGTGTGCTCCGGCCGCGGCGATGCGGAGCCGGGGGCGGGGAGGCGGGAGGAAGGGGAGGGAGGCGGCGGGAGCCGGGGGAGGGCGCGGCGCGGCGAGGACCCGGCGGGGAGCGGGGCCGCAGCCCCGGCCGCCCCTCGTCCAGGGGGAGCGGGGCAGCGCCGGCCGCAGCCCCGGTACGGCGGGGGCCGCTCACGGGGCGCCCGGAGGGCCCGGCCCACGAGCGGCGGATGGCGGTGGGAGCATCACCCGGAGCGACCCCGCCGCGCCCGGAGAACACGCGGGTGCCGGCCCTGCCCGCGCCCCCCGGTACTGCAGGCGCGCACACACAACACACGCACACCCCCGCACCCCGGGGCTGCAGGGACACACGCACCAACACACCCGAGGATGCTCCCGCTCCTCCTCCCGGCACCTCTGCACGGCCAGCGACAACCGCCCACCACGGGCGTGAATTCACGCGGTTCGTCGTCACTTAAGGCTTTTCCATCCCAGCCCTTTTGGGGAAATACTTATTCTGGAATAAACGTGCCTTTGCTAGGCGGGGTGTGTGTTGTTTAGGAGACACCTGACACCAAGGGCAAAGCTGAGAATGGTCTCCCACCGTTAATCCAGATGCAGCTCCAGGTAGGCAGGCACCTCCCTCCACACACATACACAACGCAGAAGGACTTGGTGGCCCTGACAGTCCCCAGGACACCCCACACCAAACCAGAAACCAACGACATTCCAGCCAGCAAACACGTGAGAGATTCACAGCACAGCCCTTAACTTGTGTTCACACCATGAGCTAACACCATCACACTATTTAACCAGGAAAACCTCTCTGAAGGCAGAGAGGCATAACAAGAGATGGGTATTGTTTGTTGTTTGTCGAGAGTGTTTTATACAGGTGACATGCTGGAAAACATGTTCCCGTGGTATTTGGAAGCTCATTCTGTGCCCCGATACCAAACTGCCCCACTGGCATGGCTTAGGACAGGCCCATCACTATGGGAATTGATCTTCCATTAGATCAAACCAGTAAGAGACTGGAGTGAGGCTCTTTGGCAATCCAGATCATTTAGGCACACATGAAAGTGTGCAGCTGGCAGCCTGACAGGCCTAAGTCCACACACTGAATTCAACCAACGCCACCAAACCCAAGGTTTTGGTTAACCTAAGCTAAATACTGGTCATTCTGTGCAATTCCTAATGGATAATTAATTGTGGCCAAAGCAACCACGCTGCTATGCTCAGGATTGTACCTGACCTGTAAGTAGCAAAAAACCCTCCATTTTATGAAACACTTGTGTTGGTCAAAAATCTGTGCTGGACTACAGCATGACTTGGCAGATTTTTAGTTCATCTTGTGCAAAAGCCTGAAAACAAAAACTTGGAGCTTCCACCCTATCTTTACCCCAAAAAGATCCCTTTACTCTTGTCCTTCATTTTTGTCACAATTTATGGTGTTTCTACTCATGGCAACTGAAGTACTAGAACTGTAGCTAGGAAACATAAACTTTGAATTAAATTTAGGCAAGGGCATTGTGGTTTTACAAAAAACAAGCTATGATTGAATTACTGCTGGAGAAATGATCTCCTATCTTTCCAAAGCAGAGAATGATTTACATACCGATTGATTCAAATAGTATTTCTGGATCCTTAGGCACGAATAGACACATTATAAACATCCCCAGGAAAACAACATACATTGAACTTTCTATCTCGGATGTATAAAAACAAGGTAGGGATGGAAATTGTGAGCCTGACCAAAACGACATCTGGTTGCAGGAATTTTTAAACAGAAGATGCACCATGAAATCAAAACCTGCCCGATGTTCAGGTTTTTATGAGAAGTACAAGCTCAACACCCATCCAGCTGAGAGGGATTTCTGTCTGGTTTTCCCTTTAACTGCCATTCTATTGTCTCCCCGAAGCCGAGAGCAATAACTCTGTTCAGTGCTGGTGCCAGCTCACTCCAGCTTGTTTAAAACACCCAAACCAGCAACACCTCAAGTTCCTCCTCTTGATCACCCCTCACCAGCAGCCCGAAGTGGCCAAGGGGGTAAGGTGCAACTGGAAGGTAACTGGGCTGGGGGTCAGTGCCTGCTGCCCCAGCTCTGCTCTGGGGCACAACCAGCCCACCGAGAGGAACCACTTCCAGAAAGCACCGGCTGAGGTGGCTCAGGTCTGCTGGGACTGAAAACTGCTGCGTTGGAGAGACTTCTCCCACTCTACACCGAGGTACAGCACGACCTCATCTAAGGCAGTGAACAGGTACTCAAGAAATCAGTCAAAGTTACAGCGACAGCTCTGGGGAAAACTACTGCTTGAAAAAGATAATTAAACTTTTATCACCACGTGATCAAAACTAATCAAACACAGGATCTTGAGGTTCAGACACACTGACAAGGCTACACCGAGATTCACAGACGTGGTAGGATTAATTTCAGTTGATTGTACACAATCGTGGCCCTTTGTACTCCTGCAAATTAAATTTATTCTTTTTAATTTATACGAACATATGGAAATAAGATTGTGATACAAGTGGAAAATAAGTGTTAACCACCCACAGCTAAAGTTCTGTCACATTTTATGCTACTGATGACAACACATTCAGTCAAATAATGGTAGTGACATTTTAATCTATTTCTTCATTAAAAACTAGTATCATTTGCACCAAGACAGACAAGTATATTTGGTAGAACGTCTGTGTTCTGTAATCCTCTGCTCATGGAGACAAAAAAGTGGGAAGATGAGAAAGTGTGTAGCAAGACTCCTGCTGTAAGAAAGACTGGAACAAATTAATCTCTTGCCAGGCCTGGAATTTCTACCAGAAATGGTGACCCCGGGGTAACATTCCAGGATACTCCTCCTGCCACTGGACTATTATTTTTTATTTTATTTGTGCCACAAGATGTCCCTCTCACGTTGTAATTTCTTAATATAGTGTATTTATCTGGTACAACAGTTCATGGTTTTTTCCTTTCGACATTTCCTCCCACACAGACCTATATCCAAGAGCTTTTTACTTTCTCCTCAATATTGTAAATGTCAGGTTCTTAAAATGTTGGTATTACGAAGAACTTCTCCACTGAGAGATTCAGTTTGTACTAATCCTTTTTAAAAACCTTGCTGAAAAGTGTCTGTTGTCTCTTGTGCTTTGTACCATGTTTACTTATCTTTTTTTAACCCACATGGCTCGTTTTACACATTTTCTACTCAACAATACTTTCCATCCACCTATGACTGTCAAGAACATGAAGTATTTTTCCTGCAGGTGTCCATAAATGCCTGGAGTGAGTCTCCACATCTCCTCTCCTACCCTTCAGTGGCTGGAAGCCTGAAGATTAACAGCCATAACCACGATTGCCAAAGTCCTACCAGGAACAGATGCCTCTCCCAGGGATTGTCTAGATGGTTTTACCTAGAGCTTGCTTTCTGTCCCCAGTAGGGACATGACCTTAATTCACTGGGCTGGCTTCCATCCACACTCCCCACCACGAGCACAGCAATCTGGAGTTGCTAAAAGCTTTATTATTGCACACAGATGGTGTGCAAATTCTCAAAAGTGATTGGTGGAAGCACCGCGCCGGTGAAACTTCGCCATTACCGCAATAACAAAAGCGCAGAGAACAAAACCCCAGCCAGTGTTTGGCAAAGAAATAAAGAGCAAATCATTAATTAATGCTGCCAGGATGACTGAATGCAAGGAGCACACCTTGATGCACGGGTTCAATGCCATTTCTAAGTCATACTCAAGAGGAGACCCAGACGCAGCCTCCACTGGTAGAACACAACAGGAGACATTTCCTTTCCACTCCTTCAGTAGCCACATCTCAACAGCAAACAAACAACTGTACTTGCAGCAGTTAATTTGCAAAATGAAGCAAAAATCCAGAGATTCCCTGAGCCTGCACAGGAAAGCAACCACCAGAAGGAATCCTGGGGTGCTGCATCCAACATCCTGCGCACAAGGGGAAAAAAAATCCCTGGAAGAGGCCAGAAGGTTCTGAAGCAGCTGTCAACACAGATCCTTATTAATTTGGGACTGTGCTGCTGCGTGGGGTCATGAAAAGCCTGGCAGAAATCAAATGCAGCTACAGGAATAGAGGTCAACCTTAAGAGAGAAGGGGCACTGGATTATGAGCACTCACACAGGCTTTCTGCATCTCCTGCTCACACTGAAGGGCAGAGGTTTCACATCGGCTCCTTGTGCTCCTGCACCACCCCACAGCAGTTATTCTCAGATAAACCACCTTCAGTGCATGGCAATGCAAATGATTGCATGCTTGACAGAGAGGAACTGGTATTGGGGACATGCAAGGCACTATGAGGATGGTGAAGCAACGTAACATAATGGACCTTTGTCTTCACAAAATTAACAATTTTTTTCCCAGACACATTTACTCCTAAGTATTGCTGCATATTGACTGTAAGTGAGCTGCTGTTTTAAGAGCAGTAAGAATTAGTCACATTAAAACTCTAAAATTATCAAATTTCACGACAGGCATGAAATATCAAGAAAGGCATGAAAATAAAAATGTAAGGCCAAAGTGCAGTCCAGCATTATTATACTGTTGGCATATACTGTATACAAAGGGTCTGCAATGTTATATTGCTGGATCTTGAATTCATGCTCCCATCAGCCTCGCAAACACTCTTGGCATTCCCTGCCTATTCTCCTCTTTAGCACCTCCACACAGTGACTTGAAACCTCACCCTTCTTCCACTGCCTGCAGAGTGAAGAAACCCCAGTTCCACTGGGAACTAAAGAGACACTTGTGCTCTCAAACACCAGCCTTTGTGCCTTCTACAGACACAGTCCCGGCCTGTTTCCATATTTAAGTCATTGTTTTCATATTTAAGTGTGTCAGTTGTCACAACAAGACAAACAGCCACAGCACTGGGCTAATTGGCACTTCCAGATGAAGGCAACTTCGTTTTCATTTCCTTGAGCTGGCCATGGCAGCAGGCTGGTAATACACCACAGACCTCACGTGACTACAGCAGGGCCTGAAAATGGTCAGTCAGTACCCATTTGCTTTAATTTCTTCATTATTTTCCATGCTGAAGGACCACTGCAGGTACAGGCAGTCCTTTTGCTGCAGAACACAGTGCTGGACCAGCCTACTCTCCCTTTTACTTGGACTCTAGAGATGCTTCCAACACATGAAATCCAGGCTATTTTCTTTGCCTCAGCCAAAAGAAAATGAGTGGAAAGGTTTCACAGGTTTAAAAATGAAATGTTACACTATTCCTTTCTAGCTGACAAAGATAGTAGCAGTACATGTCACCAACTGTGCCACAAAGACATCATCCTTTCCATTCTGATACCAAAACACTGAAACAGAGAAACAAGTGAGGCTGTCAACCACACACCAGGCAATTAAAATAACACAACAGGGTAACTGTGATCACTCCTTGCCACAGCACTCAACCTCCACATTATTTATATGATTTATTCACCATAAAACCCAAGTTACAGCTCTACAATGCATACACAAATATTAAGGAATTCAGATCAAGTTTCTTCTATATTCACTAAGTATGTGAAAGTACTTATGGCAGAACATTTTTAGCTAATCTGATTCATTCACATCACGTAGGATCCTTCCTGCATGAATC